TGCTCTTGCTGTCCATCTTGATATTACTTACAAATCTTATTTGATATTACTCAAAGTTTGTCCTGTCTGTCTTTGTTTTTTTTGATTATCTTTTGTTGATTTTTAACATTTTCCCAATCCTCTGGTTTACCACTAATTGTTGCCACATTGTATGTTTTTCTTTCAATCTGATGCTGTCCTTAACTTTTCTGGTTAACCATGGTTGGCTTATCTCCTTCCTTGAGCCCTTCTGCACAGGAAAATGTCTTTGCTGTGTGTTAATGGCATATTATCTTAAATTTCTGCCATTGTTCATCAACTGTCTTTGCTGCTAAAGCACTTTCCTCGTCCACTTCAGTTAGCTCTGCTCTCATTCCTTTGTGATGACCCCTAATTAAGTTTAGCACAGTTGCTTCTGATCCAAGTGCCTCCCTCTCAAACTGAATATTAAATTATACCAATTAATTGTCACCATTTCCAAGTGGATCTTTTACTCTGACATAATTTATTAAACCTGTCTCATTACACCTCATCAGATTCAAAATAACCTGATCCTGGTTGGGTTCACAACATATGAAAGTATCCTGAAAATACTATATGAATTCTTCCACATGGCTTCATTTGCCAATCTGACTATCCCAATCTATAAGAAGATTAAAGACCAGATTGTTTGAGGCTTGAAAGCCAGAGCCCCAAGGCAGGTCTCTGCCCAGCCCGCCTCCTCATCCAGCATCTTCCTCAATTCTTCCAGGGTCATCTGCCCCCAACTCCAATATCTGAGTTTGGACAGCTATTTTTAAAAGTTGGATTCGTGCAGCAGGGAATTCTCCTACTGTGTGCACCCAACTCACAGACAGAAGTTCAGGCCTAAGTCCTTTCTCATTCTGTCTCCTGGCCTCTTTCATCTCCTTTTTCACTTCCCAACGAAACTTCCTTATTCAGCTGGTTGATCTCAATTGAATTTCTAACCTGACATCACAGCACACACAGAAACAGAAATTGCTGGATAAACTCAGCGTTTCTGAGCTCTGAAGAAGGGTCTTTCCTATATGTTCCCTTACTGACTCTGAATGCACCTTGTCCCCCAGAACCAAATTCAGCAATGCCTCACCCCATGTTACACCAGAAATATGCTGATTAAGAATATTTTCATGAACACTCTTAAAAAAATTGCTCTCCCTCTCTGCTCTTTAAACTACTAATGTCCCAGTTTATCTTAGGGCTAAATAAAGCTTCACATTATCGCTACATAATAGCTTTTGCACTGCTCTATTATTTCCCTGTAAATTTGCATTTCCATATCTTTCCCATCAGGTGGTGGTGTGTAGAACTGTACCTAGTATTGATACCTTTTTTCATTTATTAACTCTAATCAATCTGTACTTGAACCCTCCATCAAACGAACAACAAGAAGAGAAAGATGATGAAGACACAGCACTCTCACTTGATTTCACATGTTTCTGTGTGTTTTCACATCAAGTTTTTAAGTGAATTCTGTGCAGCAGAACTCCATATGCAGTTTTACCCTTTGGTGAGTTGGCATCTGTGCTATTCTTTCCCTCTACGGTGGCTGCAAACCATGTGTTTCCATTATCTCACCAGTGTTGATTTAATGGAGATAGTGGATATTTTTCCTGTTGGCTAGACAGCTGGCAGGAGATCCACAGTGGCCTTTCTAGAAGAGACAATCAGCTGTGATTCCAGACCCACAGCAGTGCGATTGACTCTTAACTGCCCTCCAAAGTAGTCTTGAGAGCCAATCAATTCAAGGCTTCAGCATCAGATGCCAGCCTTTCCAATGATGTCCACATACTATATAAGAATCCTATACAACAATACTTGCCTGCCAAAGTATGCTGATTCATGGCCAAAGACCATGGGACACTCAGCAAAAATTTTAACAGATAAACTAAAGTCTACTTGAAGAAGATTGTCTCTGACCTAAAAACATGGGAAGACACTGCACTGAGCCACCTCTGATGGCAAGCCCTTCTTCACCAAACTGCAGCTGGTTTTGAAGCAGGACAAATGACGAAGCCCAAAGTGTATGAAAAGAAGAAATTTCAAGCTGCACTAGACTCATCAACCATGGATTAATCTGGATTGACTGATGACTGACGGCTGATGTGGATTTTGGGTTTCTTTTTAATGCTGTTTCTCACTTAGACTTTTTAATTAGCATTTTCCCCCATCTTTTACCTTTCATTAGTTTCACCACTATCTCTTACAATGTCTCTCTCTTCTTCCATTTTGATTTCTTTCCCTGTACCTGTCCTTACCCTGGGACTCGATAGCTAGCATCTTCATTACTCTGAGGGACCTTCAAGAGGACAGGACATCTGTCCTCCTTTCAACATTCCCCACCAAGGTCTCTATTGCAGCATGAATAAAACACCTGTCAGCTACGTATCCCAATTCAATCAATCTTTTTTCTTTACCAGATCAAACGAAGCTCACAAAGGGTTTCCAGCACCCACTACAGCCCCAATGCACTGGCACTTAAAGAGGTACAAGTTAACTTAAGTGATGCTGGCCAGTAATAACAATGGCCCTTGTGCTGATATGTCCAGTCAATCAACAGAACGGTTAACATTGGTGCACACAGAAATCATGACAGTAAGCAAGAAATATGAAGATACAGTGTTGTTTGCACTGCAGCCAACTGGGTTGTGTTTCAGTGAAAATTCCAGACTGCATACTCCAGGGCTATCCAATTTAGCTCCAATGAACTCAAAGTCCTCAATACTGTTTTGCACGATAAACTCATAGCCTCATGGATGATTGAAAAAAATTAAAAAGGATCAATGAAGTCAAACGAGAAAAAATATTTCCTCTAACTGAGGGGAGTGGGGGAAATATGGCTCCGAAGCACAAACATAAGACAGCCACTTATCAATCTAATATGAAATTAAGAAGAGTGGTGAAAGTGTCAGCCTCATCATCACAAAGAGTGTTAGAAGTGAACTAAATGAAAAAGGAACATGTTGCTTGAATGAGATGAAGAAATATGGGATCTGGGGAGGGTGTGCAGCACAAAGACAACAGAGACCAGATGGACAAAATGATCTGTTCCTGTGGTGTAATTCTTCAAGTACTTCTATGTAATATCAGTCCTGAATTATTGGAAATTGAATGTGGACTTGCTGGACTAGTTTTAGAATTCTAAAGATAATGTAAGTGTAAATGTTTGTGCATTTCAGAGATAATATAGAGAAGGTATTTTAATAATACATTATAACCTAATATACAGAAGCATGGCACTTGGTTCATGGAGCTTTACTGTAGCTGCTATTTTAAAAAAAACCTAAAGCAATCCACTCAATGAGATAGTGATTTCCTGGTTAAAGCTTGGTATGTGAGATCGGGGATAATAAAAAAAAGTGCTGTAGAAACTCAACGTGTCTGGCAGCATGTGTTCAAAGCCAAAACATTTAACATTTCAAGTCTGACTTGACTCTTCTTTGGAACAGGAGAGCCTGAAAATGATCGTTATTATGCTGCTGTCTAAGCGGGGGGGGGGGGTGGGTGTGAAGAGATTTGATTTGATTTGATTTATTCCTGTCATATGTACCAAGGTACAGTGAAAAGTGTTGGCTTATGTGCTTTACTGGCAGATCGTACTATACAAGTGCATTAGGGTAAGAGAACAGGGTGCAGGATACAATGTTACAGCTGCTGAAAAGGTGCAGAGAGAGGTCAACATTAACATTAAAGAGGTCCATTCAAAAGTTTGAAAGAAGCTGTTCTTGAACCTGATATCCAACCTTATATATCTTCTACCAGAGGGTGGCAGAGAGTATAACCAGGGTGGGAGAGGTCTTTGATTATGCTGGTTGCAGAGGGAAATATAGATCAAGTCAATGGATGGAAGGCTGGTTTTGCGTGATGGACTGGGCTATGTTCACAACTGTCTGTTGTTTCTTTCAGTCTTAGGAAGAGCAGTTGCCATACCATGCTGTAAGAGTCTTTATGGACATGCTGAATTTCAATTGGAACAGATTGTGAGGATGACCAAAGCATAAAAAGCATAATTTTCCAGTCAAAAATTAATTCTGTTTCTCCTCCATACTTGCTGTTCAACCTGCTGAATTTCTCCAGCACTTTTTTGTGTTTTGTTTCAGATCTCTGATACCCACGGTATTTTACTTTTATGTCAGACCAGGGATCCTTGCTACACACTCAGTTCAGTTACAGTTGGTTCTGCTATAACGCGTCTTCCGTCAATGCGAATTGGCTGTAACGCAGTTGACAAATAGGGGAATGATATTTCTAAAACACAAATTTGTGTTGGCCATAACTCGATTCTAACGGTGCACAGAGGAGTATGCTTCAACATCACATGGTCATTTCACAGGCTTTGTTGTGAATACGTACAATGTTAGCACTTAAAGAGTCTCCACGCTGGCATCATGTGATCATTTCGCGGGTTTTGTCATGAAGTGCTTTCTGTGAGAGGTACAGTACAACCTCCTGTTCCATCAAGTCATTTTGACATTTTTACAAGGTAAAGTCTTAAATTTACTTTTATTTCATTTTTCAATATGAATTAAATATTTACTCAAATTGAGCTATCCTTTGTGTGAGGCTATTGAATGATACTGAGTGATTTTTTTTGGTGATCTGTCCCGAACCCCACTTTTCCCATAGGCCCCTATATTGCGATTTTCTATAATGCAATGTTGTATAGGAACGCAACTATCATGTTATAGCAGAACCGAGTGTATTTGCAAATAAGGATTGAATGAACATTTCATAAAGCAAAACTGTAGTGATTCCAGTATATGCATCATTCACACTACAAAATAATTCCATTGTTTGTTTTGAGAATGATAACTTATTCAACATACGATTGACGGTAGCATCAATTTAATTCACATTAAGTTCCATTTCCAATTAATTAATCTGCCATTCAAAGCGATGTTCTATTTTTGACTCTTCAAATTAGTTTTAAGAATACCAATGATCACATTATTTTTAAAAAGCTGCCATTGATGAGTTGATATCAACAAGTCTGTACATACCAGTAGCAGAGAGTATGAAAGTGAATTGAGTTTCACTCCGTTTGCCGGTAATATTATTGTAGACACAGCACATGTAGTCAGCTTTGTCGGGTACTTTCTCAGACTTGATATTTAATACTGGCCCCCACTGGATGGGTGTTGTTTTGTTGTCAGCTTTCTGAAACCATGAGTAGACATTTGGTGGGTTGGAATTTGCTGAACATTTAAACCAGACTGGCTCTCCTTTGCCAGCAGCGAACACTCCTTCACTAACTTTGAATCGTGGTTCAGACTTCACCATTAGATCATAGGGACCATCTGAAAATGTTCAAGTGGAAGAAAGATTACCAGAAGAATAAGAAATCTCAATGCATTCTATGAAACTCTTAGAGATTATTGGACAATTGTGACAAAAATTTATAGAACAAATTAAAATTTCACAGCATGAGTAGTAATCTGGTGGTCTATTACAGAACCCTGAAAACGCTAGCCTAAAAATTAAAGAGTTTTATAATGGATATACTACACCCATGATGTGAAGATGATGCTGATCATTATATAAATTTAAGTATATTCATTTTATTTAAAATTTAGCTCTAGCGACTAAAGTTTTGACTCATTAATATTTGATTATTTGATTAAAATTTGACTCATTAACAATCCGACACATATTGCATTTGCATCTCAATTCGCACTTTATCTATGTGTGGGGTTTGGCGCTAGGTCTGTTCAACACATGCACCCAAGGGGATCTCAGACCCAGTCACTGGCTACAGCTGACAACATTGCTCAGCCTAATTGAATCCATTTCTGCACATTAGTCTGTTGGGATCTTCTTCATCATTGGAGAAGTTGGGGCATCATTAGGGCCATGCAAAGCCATCTCAAACATCTCCCCGTACTGAACACTGCAGGCCACATGTAAAATAAACTCCATCCTGCCATTTGTTTCAAACTACAGAGATGATTGACACTGATCTATTTTCTTTTCTTATACGTACATGAACTGTAAAATATCTGGAAGGTCACTATGAGTGATTAGAAATTGGCTTTTATTTTGCTTTGAACAAATAGGTTAAATGCTGAGAGGGGTGTTGATCATGGAAAAAAGAGCCTATAATTTTGTTGCACAGTACTAGCCCAAACATTATGTAGACTGGGGTACACAAGGTCAGAAGTCAGATGACACTAGGTTACAGTCCAACAGGTTTATTTGAAATCACAAGCTTTCAAAGCTTGTGAAGGGGCAAAGCTCCGAAAGGGCGTGATTTCAAACAAACCTGTTGGACTTTATCCTGGTGTCGTCCGACTTCTGACCTAGCCCAAACATTCTGTCCCTTAATCCAATTCATTGCTGCAGTATCCATGCCAAATGAGATGATTAATTATGATCAAAGTTTGAACAATTTGGGACTCAACATCTGTAATTGTGAGTGAGCTATGCTTAACTCACTGGCTGCATTCTAATCTCCAGGAATCTGGTGTGGGTTCAAGCTGTGTTCCAAAGGCGATACAAATCGACGTTGACATTTAAGTCCAATATTGACAGTCTGTTACATTAACAAATGTTTTTGTTCCAGATGAATCATGAAAACCATAGCATTGATTTGGGTGGATGAAAAAGATGACATGACATCCTTTGAAGACAAACAAGCAAGGTATCCTGACTAAAATCTATGCCACAACCAACATCATCAAAACAGACTATTTGGTCATTTATCTCACTGTTGTTTGTGTATGCAATTAGCAATTTTGCTTTCCTGCATTGTAACAGTGACTGTATTTTGAAAGCAGTTCATTCCACACCTGAAACATCTCAGGGTTGTTATATCTCTGAGTGGATCATTAAAAATTTGAATTCCAGATGCCATAGATTTGATGCCTCACTTAATTTATGTCCCCTTGAAACATTCATACAGTTTATTGTGTCTCCTAAGTTAGCATAAAATGAAAACAAGTATATAGAATCACAGGGTAGAATCCATTGGAGCCTCAGTGACATGGGCTACGGCGAGGTGTCTGGCAGAATTTCCAAACTTACCAAACAAGCCAGACATCAGGAAAGCTTGATAAAGAAATCAGAGTGGGTACCTGGCAGATTCAGCTGCTCCAAAAGAAATCCATGTTGACTATGACCAAGCCACAGTTCAGGGACAATCAATAGGCACCAGGCATATACACCTATCCTCCATGGACATTGGCATCCGATACCTGCTATCATGACCATCCTGACACTCTACTATTCACTGGCAGGGCACACTAGAAGGGCAGACTTCCATTGCAGCAAATGGCATTGCAGCAGGGGCACTTTGTGCACAAAGACAGGCACCCAGCTTGTGGACTGAAGGATTAAATGAGTCAAGGGTTTCTAACTCTCCTACCCTCTTATAGAAACTTATAGAAACATATAAAATTATGAAAGGAATCGATAAGATAGAAGTAGAGAGGATGTTTCCACTGGCAGGTGAAGCTAGGACAAGAGGGCATAGCCTCAAGATTAGAGGGAGCAGATTTAGGACTGAATTGAGAAGGAACTTCTTCACTCAGAGGGTTGTTAATCTATGGAATTCCTTGCCCAGTGAAGTAGTTGACGCTACTTCAGTAAACGTTTTTAAAGATAAGGTAGATTTTTTTTGAACAATAAAGGAATTAAGGGATATGGTGAGAACGCGGGTAAGTGGATCTGAGTCCACGAAAAGATCAGCCATGATCTTATTGAATGGCGGAGCAGGCTCGAAGGGCCGGACGGCCTACTCCTGCTCCTAGTTCTTATGTTCTTAAGCAGTCGGTTCCGCACCCTGACCACCCTCCATGAGAAAGAAACAGTTCCTAGTCTCTGCTCTAATACTTCTACCAATCAATGCCCTCAATGCACTAACCTTTCTGCCCAGGTAAGCCCACCCAATCCACTCTAAGAGCCTCACAATTTTCTACATCTATCAAATCTTCTCTGAGCCACTTCTATTCCAAGGAGAACTATTCCAGCCTATTTAATATTTCCACATAGTTGCAGTTTTTCATTCCTGGCAACATCCTGGTAAACAGAACCAGATGGGGTAAATGCAGGAAGGATGGCCCTGTTCTCTGTGGAGTCCACAACCAGGAGTCACAGTTTATGGATATAGAATAGGCCATTTAGAGCTGATAAGAGGAGTGGTTTCTTCACCCAGAGAATCGTGAGCTTGTGAAATTCTCTACCGGAGAACGTGGTTGAGGCCAAAACATTGAATGTTTTCAAGAAGGAGTTAGATATGGTTCTCAGAATTAAAGGGACCAAAACGTAGGGGAGAAAATGGGAACAGGGAACTGACGTGGATGATCAACCACGATCATAAAGAATGGCAGAGCAGACTCAAAGAGCTTAATAGCTTACTCCTACTCCTATTTTCCATGTTTCTAATTATCCTTTTTTTAACCCTTTCTAAGGCAATTCTGAAATAAGGTGACCAGAACTGTGCACAGTACTCAAGCTTGCCCCAAATACTGATTTATACAGTTCTAGTAAATCTTCCCTGTTCTTATAGTGCATGCCTCAGCTAATAAAGGCAAAGAGTCAATACGTTTTCTTAACCACCTTATTGGCTTGTCCTGCAACCTTCAGGAATCTGTGGGCATTCACTTCAAGGTCCTTCACTTCTCTACACCTCAGCATTCTTACGCTGACCATGTATTCCTTTGTCTTTTTTTTTGACAGCCAACCCAAATTCATCACACTTCATGTAATATACAACTCTATTTCTCCATCCAACTTCACAGAAATCAAATGTGGGCCCAGGACAGATCCATGGGGAACACCAGTGACTACATCCTGTATGTAGAAATCAAACCCCATAATTGATGGACCAAATGGCTCATTCCTGCTCCTATTTGCTACATAATCTCTCTGAAGCAACTGCATATTTAGTTCTCTACTCTTGCCTTTAAACAATTCTCCTTTCTTATTTCAAATATTTATTTATTTTCTTGTTAAAAGTTGTTATAGATTCCATTCCCAGCTATGTTTCTTGTAAGACATTTGATGTTCTGAATCCCAAGTGCACTAAAAAAATGTATTTTTAATATTTGTGCTTAACAACCAGAGCAATTCTGTGTTCTATTATCACATTATAAATAATATAATTGAATGTATAGACACTGCTCATAATCTTCCACCTCATTTTGTGATGATTGCATAATAATAAGTATAAAATTAAAAATCATTGTATACACAGATGTCACATGACTGAGACTTCGGTCCCACTGTGGATTATTTTCTTCATGAGGCTTGCCTGACTTCAACCTTTATCCCCAATGATGTATCATTTCTATGTCTTTATCTGAGTTTACTGTTTCCTCAATGATTTTCCCTTTCAAAGGTCATTCCTTTCCACCATACAATTTCTATCAGAAAGAATATTTGTTGTGAATTTATTGTTTCAATATTGTATATGTTCAAATGATAGAAATTGAACCCTCAATTTGATACCAGATACCACAGAAAGGTATTCATCAGATCAAGCACCACAGCTATTAACTGAACATTTTGCAAAATCTGCAGGGATTTTTGTGAAAGCTGTTATTCTAACTACCATCATTAAGTAACCACAAGGAAAAACAGTCCCGACAAGAATCAAATATTCCCAACAGCTCTATCTGCCTTGTGGACTACAGATAGTGCACATGAGACAAAGAAGCTAATTAAAAAGACGAAAAATGGAAAAGCTATATGAAATGTAGATTTAGTATACTTCAACTTGTCAAAAATACTAAGGCTTGAATTTTCTTGATGATGGAGATGCTCTCCAGTTGAGCCAAAATGGCTCATGACGAGAGCCATGATTCCGGAAATCCTTCCCTCTAAATCTGGCATATATTATTTTTGTTGGGCTACAAGGGTGTGCGTGTGGGTATGAGTTGTACTTGACATATCCCTGGATCAGTGCAGCAGCTACCTATGTTAAAGTGCAGCTGCCTTCAAATAGGTCCAATTTTCATGAGTGGGATGTATACAAAACCTAAGTTATGGGCTTTACCTTACGCAGAAAAAGGTCTAAAAATGCCAGATGTGTTTGGAGAGGTACGGTATCCTTTTGGATATCTCCAGGGACACCTTTGGGAGAGGTTTAGTGTTTTTGAGAGAGGTAAGGAACTTATTGAAAAGACCAAGAGGCCTTTGAGATTGTTAAAAGTAGATTCAACTCAATGAAGCTACAAAATTCATGGGAACTGTCAACCTGTCAAGGGACCTATTAATGTCATTGGAACTGTCAAATCATCAAGATGTTTAAATTTCACGGTCTTTAAATTTTTGGGAAAAATCAGCAAAAGAGTCTGAGCCA